CAAACCTTTGTGTTGCATTCTTTATCCTGAGTTATAAAGTCGTTAGTATGGTGGTTTCTGATTCCCTCCCCCTTATCATGAGCTTCGTCGTTGGGCGTCACAGCATGAAGACGCGGCGTCAGATCGGTATCTGGAGTTTAAGAGTGTCTGTCATCTAGAATAAAGGAATTGATAGGCTTAAGATCTGATGTGCCAGTCTCTCACTACGTGGCGCACCCACTCAAAGCATCACACTCAGCAACTCGATGTCTTCATCCAAAGTCCGGTTTTATTCAAGCCAATGACCTTGGAGATTCCATCAATCAATAGTGAAATGAAAATTGTTCCCAGCTGGCAATCGTCTGTACATCAGTTGTCAACCACTGCAAACGTAGCACTTACTTTCACATTGAATGCCCGTTGACTTATATTAGAAAATGTCACATGGCTCGATGTTCTTGATTTCAATCCAACATTTGTATTACAAAATTTTGGCCTGGGACTTGGTGACTGAGTGTGTCCAAGCAGAGGGCTGATTTTGTCATACCTTACAATGAGGAGGGTTTTCATGTCAATGCTTTTGCAGCATGTGTTGGTTAACTTAGCTATGTTTTTCATTCGTTTCGTTGAGAGTTTGTGCGAGACAGTGATATGTAGGAACAAAATAACAAAGGTGAAGTGCTTTCTAAGACACTGTGAAGCAAAGCGCAGTGGATACACAGACTGTTAGAGCATATAGAAAACTTGTCAGCCAGTAGTTGAAAGCTGGAATACTTTTGAAACAGAACTAAAAATTGGAAGTGCTACTTGTCACCTGCAGAATTCAGGAGCTCTGAGTTGGAAGATGGGGCAAGGTTTTGGAGCACCAGTAGTGATTGCAAGACAACGGTTCTTGATATTCATTTTTACATATAATGTACTTATGGGAACTTAGAATACCTTTAAGAGCCCAAGGTTCAATTCACTTTCCACTGCATTCACTGCACCCCAAAACCCGTTCCCTCACCTCCTTGCGGCCTCGACACTGCTTTTTTCAAGTCAGAACACGGACCGACTCCGTTTTATCCTGGCAAACCCAAGCCATTGCCGAACAACCTAACTGCTCTCGTTTTTTAGCTCTCGCAGTGCATAAAAAATGCAACATAGAAAATCTGATTTCAAAATTTATCAGTCGCATCCATACTTAGCTTGCGGAAGGCTTCCGTGTGATCATGTGATATTGGTGAGTCCAGCTTCATGGAGTCCATATGAAGCAACACAGGTTAGTGTTTGGTGGTCGACACTGCTTTGGTGAGCCTTTAATTGTACTAACAATGATAAAAAACCGTTAAATTCATCTCAAAGGTATCATGGTGTATCCTTAAAATGAAAATGTTCTCTTCAATTTTTCTTACTTTTCCCGGAAGTTCTAGCGACTCTGAAACTTACCGTGAGGGTACTTGCCGAATGGGATGGCTACGTTTTTGTTGAGTGCACCATTTCGAAACGATGAACATAATCAAAATCACACAAATGACAGGTTTGGGCTGTTTTGCACAGTCATAACCGCTCTAAAGTCATGGAAGAGCAAAACATGACACCTTAACCAGGGATGAACCTCTGCATACAAGGTAAACACAATTCCCCCACCTTCACCATACAGTGCTGACGTGTTACGGACACAGGCGCATCAAATAATCATGCCGGTATGAGCACATTTCCACCAATGGTTAAATGCCCATGAAAAAAGCTTTTAAACCATAACAGGCTTTAAGAAAGGTTTCGAGGTTCCCTTTGAGGGCAGCCACCCGCATGTATCACCTGTAACACGGTAATATAGTGATCTACTGTCTTTTACTATGGACAGCAACATTTTACTTTCGTTTTGGAATAAACCATAGATATTGATTTGATAATAATACCCAATGAAATTATTTCTTTCGGGTTTGAAGTTCAACTGCAACGTGAATAGACCGGGTTAACTGTTATATTTCCCGAGGGACCTGACAGTACGTTTAGCTGTCGTCACAAGATTTTGCCGTTGACATGGGTTTTCATTATCACGTGATGAGAACAGGACTACGCGACGCGTACTACCGAGCATGGGTGCTGACTTCTGATCCCAGTGTGTCATCTAGTCAAAAGCTTCGCACCTTATAGTCGGAAAAACTCGCAACGAAGAGTAATGGCTACAGCGAGCTGGGGAGATGACAGTTCTTCTATTGTTGACATGCTTGCGAAATTTGTCGTTTATTTCGCAGTTATCCTGCTTATTACAACACTTTAAACCATTCCCTAATAATCAACGTTTTGCCGAAATGGTTCTGCATACTTAGGCCAACAGTGAAATTGCCATCCTCTCGTAAGTCCCTGTTATGTTAAGTTATGACGCAACATAACAGGGATAAGTTATGACGCAACATAACAGGGATCTTCTGCTAAATGGTGTTCTTAGGCATGTTTTCCTTGATGCCGCTTACTTTGGTTTGAGCCTCGCTTTGGTCACACCATGACCAATGTCACGCACGGAGTCGTGTCTGCAGCACTCAAGCCCTGCTTCACAACGTAGTTTAATCTCACGAACCTCAAAAACTATTTCTTGAAATGCCACAAGTTGTGTGATTCCTGCACGCGTTGATGTGCTAACAGCTGGCAAAGCAAGGTTGCCCAAAATCAAGGGGAATATTGATGGATGCCCAACCAAAGTCTTACAAAAAGTGCCTCGCTTCATCCCTGACGCAAGATACCCGGTCGCAAGACATCCGTTGGGAATAATAACACAGCCCGGTCTGTTCACGTTGCAGTTGAACTCCAAACCCACAAAATTTAATCTCATAGGACCGTATCCTCGAATAATTGCCTATAGCTTCTGTCAAAGCGAAACAAAAATTTGGTTGTCCGTAGTTATAGACGGTGAATCCCTGTATTAGCATGTGGCAGGTGACGCATGCTGGTGGATGCACTCAAAGACAGAACCCAGCTGTCGATGCTGCAGCGGCGCCGGAGCCCGGCTATCGGCGCTCCAGCAGCGCCGGAGCCGAGCTGTCGGCGCTGCTGCAGCGCCGGAGCCCAGCTGTCGGCGCTGCTGCGGCGCCGAAGCCCAGCCATCTGTGCTGTGGCGGCGCCGGAGCCGAGCTGTCGGCGCTGCTGCGGCACCGGGGCCCAGCTGTCAGCGCTGCTGCGGCGCCGGAGCCCAGCTGTCGGTGCTGCAGCGGCGCCGAGGCCGAGCTATCGGCGCTGCAGCGGCGCCGGAGCCGAGCTGTCGACGCTGCTGCTGCGCCGGAGCCGACCTATCGACGCTGCAGCGGCGCCGAAACCCAGCCATCTGAGCTGTAGCGGCGCCGGAGCCCGGCCATCCGTGCTGCAGCGGCGCCGGAGCCCGGCCATCTGTACTGTAGCGGCGCCGGAGCCGAGCTGTCAGCGCTGCTGCGGCGCCGGAGCCCAGCTGTCGGTGCTGCAGCGGTGCCGGAGCCGAGCTATCGGCGCTGCAGCGGCGCCGGAGCCGAGGTGTCGGCGCTGCTGCTGCGCCGGAGCCGACCTATCGACGCTGCAGCGGCGCCGGAGCCCGGCTATCGGCGCTGCAGCGGCGCCGAATCCCAGCCATCTATGTTGCAGCGGCGCCGGAGTCCGGCCATCTGTGCTGCAGCAGCGCCGGAGCCCGGCCATCTGTGCTGCAGCGGCGCCGGAGCCCAGCTATCGGCGCTCCAGCGGCGCCGAAGTCCGGCTATCGGCGCTGCAGCGACGTCGGAGCTGGCGGTGATGACCCGGCGTCCCGGGCGCGGCGTCGGCCGGCGGTGCGGAGGGAGGGGGCGTGGCAGCCGTCGCGGCCGGCACCAGCGCTGAGAGGCACGGGGGCGGTGTCTCGACGGCCAATTATCGTCGGCTGAGGCGGCGGCGGCTCGTGCCTCTCGAGAGCACCTTATAAGGCGGGAGGCGGTCGCGAACCGGCCGAATGGAGTGGTGCAAACTGCTGTGTCGTTATGCACGCGTCGGAAGCATGTAATGGGGAACGGAACACTTATATGCCGGTTTTGTATTCACATATATCCGCATTGATTTTCATAACATGTTGTGATAGAATCGTTCTACCATGTACTTTATGACATAGCAGTCGTATTGGCATAGCTTTGGGAATAATTCACTTGATCGTGTGGTTCTTATTTGTCAGATCTCTTCTTATCAAATTCACAAACAGCTATCTATTCGCCATTTATACACTGCCGAGCGTCAATACAGCACGTCGGCAAATTGATAGTCATTTTTGATATCGAAAGCTTTGGTTATCAATGACTTTGTTAATTCCCAGGTTCTGAAAAACAGTTTTCTAATTTGTAATGAAACTGATGCAATTTGCAGTAATGGACCAAATTAACTATCTACATGCATCATCAAAGGCTTTACAAAGAAAACCTAATGGCATCAACGTATTCGATTTGTTACTCAATTTGAACAGCTACTCTGATTTGTTACAACTGCATAAATGCAGTCGTCCGTGCAGTTGCCGGCCACTGCAGCCCTTCCGCCCGGCGTGTAATCTATCCGACGAGCAAAGCGTGGTAATCGATGCTAATTTTACCGGCCCGATAGAGCGGTGGATTTGAATTACATTCCACCGCGGCACAGCGGCAAGAGCCCGTCAAAAAAACAGCGGGTGATCGCCGCACGCTCCCATTCCTGCCGCCATCGATTGCTGATCTAGCGCGCCCTATCGCCCCCGCGTCGGCAGGGGCTCTTTGGCTCCGCCGCCAGCCGTCTGGCGTGCGGCGCAACATGCAATGGCACTTCTGGAAGCAGGTGCACCGGCGAAACTGTGCTTCTGACCACAAGAAACGTTGCGTGTCCCCACTATTATGAAATTGGCTAGGCGGCCGTTTGCGCGGCCGCTCACCAGATGTCGGCCGCTCGACAGCGGCAGTCGCTCGCCGCCGGTCCGCGGCGGAGGAGGCGCCGCCGGCCGCTGCCATGCCGCCGGCCCCCTGCCGGTCTCGGCCAGTGTGATGCCGCCTGCGCGGACGCGGCCGGGCGCCGCCGCCGCCGCCGCCCGGCTGGCCGTGACGCTCCTCGTGACGCTGGGCGTGACGCCCGTGACGCGTGCCAACCCGGACGCCCGACGACTCTACGATGACCTGCTTTCCAACTACAACCGGCTAATACGTCCCGTGTCCAACGCCAGCGACCGGGTCACGGTCAAGCTGGGTCTGCGGCTTTCTCAGCTCATGGACCTGGTGAGTGGGGGGCACTGAACCTGAGCAACGCTAGCGTAACTTCATACTCTTCCGCCAGTTATCTACCTCGATCTACAGGTGCAGGCATGCGCTTCTTACGCTAAAGATGTGCGATGTCGGTGGGGTTTTGCAATGGTGCGTCAAAAGTATCACGCAGGCTAGGAACATCGATCGTCGAAACTCAATACAGCGTGTACGAGCTCTCCGAAGTACTAATCTTCATGTTTTAGAAGACTGTCGGTTTTCTCAATTTTTACCGCCATTTAGCTCAGTTTGTCGCCCCCCATATTGGTGGAGCGCTGGATATCCGATTACTTCGTGAGATACACGTGAGCTCGTATTCAGAATCCACGATTCTGTGACATGCCAAGGACCGTCAGTTGACATCTGGTCAATGGGGTGAGGCTGGCAACGTGATACTCGCGCACATGGGACCTTAAAATATCCTAAAAATACCAATTGTGCTGGTTCAATGTACCGAAGCGTTGGAACTGAGGTCATTGCAACCAGCCAGCGAGGACTGATCGTAAGGCCACAACTGATCGAAAACAAAACGATCAAGTTTTTTCGATCTGACGTACACAGCACCTGGCGTAACTGCTTTCTCACGCTCCTTATTTCAGTTTCCGTCCTGGCCTTATCATAACCCCGTGGTATTTTCCTGTATAAAGCGACAGTCGAGCCCACTACCCTGTGAACGTCTTGACCAGCTTGAAGCTGTTCACAAGGCTTTGCTGTGCAGCGCATGGAAACGCCGCCGTGCGTTGACGCCTTCACGGGTTGATGAGCGCATAGACATCCATATTAAAAAGGTCACGACCTGGGCTAGGCACATATTTTGGGAAATTGCGGCTTTGGGTATGGGTAAGATGTTCGAGAAACGTCGGATAAATGCTGTCAAAAATGCTACGCAATGCCACTGTGTGTGCATATTTCAGTCATTATCTCCAGTCGCAGGCCTTCTGTAATGAGCAATGCGACAGACAAGTCTGGGTAGACTTGCCTTAGGATTTTTGTAATTCAGAACTAAAACCACATACAAATACAAATAGGAAGGTAACGCGTGGGCACAGCATCTTAGGAACGGATGGCTGGTGGGTACGAACAAAGCACCTCGCGTAGCGGATGGACTAGTTAACAATGCTATCCATGGAAGCCTCTACCGCCCACGCGTGATGGGGCGCAGGCCGCCTCGCCGCAGGCGTTTGCTCCTCATGACCTCAGCCGGCAGACGCCGAGCGCTGGGCGAAGCTGGCTGGCTCCTTCTCCAAGCACGCCCAGCCGTCCCCCAGCCAGCCGCTCCTCCGCTCGGCATGGCAGCCGACTCCTGCCAGGAGGCGGCTGTCGCAGCCACATGGGCGCCGGCAGAGCCAGCAACTAGAGCGGAAGCGAATGGAAGAATCGGGCGCCCGCCATGAATAATGCAGCTCGCGAGTGGACGGGTGGGGACCTGACGCGACGAGCGATGGCCGAGCCACGCGGACCAAGCGTGTCCGGCGCCCGTCTGCGCCGCGGCCCGCCTCACTCTCAGCCCACTGCACCAGGCATAGTCGATTAGCGTCGCTGACAAAGGGCCCGGTCACTTGCTGTGATTGGACGGAGGGAAAATGGGGTGCGGAGAATGTGGGTGTTAAAGATGGCTATTAAGTTTGGTTTGCGATCGCTGTTTGAGCCATCTCATTTTCTCGTGCAACCCAAGGGTGGGACTTTGTTGAGAGGCTTCATCCGCCCCCTCTGCCCGTGGAGTCAAGTTCGAAAAGCGTATAAAATCCGAAAATGTCCCCAGTATTTGACAGTAGTGTTCCATTTGCGCGGAAATGTGCGCTCCAGCTGTGAGGAGAGGCGTGCTCAGCCTACTTTTAATGAGACGGGGTTATTCATACACCTTGCAGACTGTGTTTAATGAACACTCTCCTACGTTCGTGCTCAAATTACTGCATAAAGTATAATCTACGCGTAATACAGACCTCTCGCAATCTAATTGCATGCTCTCGGTTGTCAAGGGTGAGTTTTTTCTGTAATCCGGTTGCATTGGCGTAACTACACGCGTGAAGTCATTGGGTTTTTATCTGATGTAGTGCCGTACTTCATCTGTGAGCGAGGACCGCATGCGCTTTACGCATAAGTATGCTCAAGTGCTTTATTCGTGCATGATCTTCACCACTAGAGGAGGGGGGAGTGGGACGCCCCCCTCCCCCCCCCCCAAAGGCTAGCTCTTTTGCTAGCGAATATATTTGGTGCAAGCGCTTGGAAAGGTAATACATATCAAAGACAGGCTGTAGTTTTCTGGCGATTTTATACCACAGCAATCTTCATCGAACAAGGCACTCCGCGGTGGATTCAGACAGTTATCATTTTCCTTTTCCGAGTGACCTTGGTTTGCAAGTGCTTGTGATAAACACAGCATTAATACGCCAATCATGTTCTTCAGAGAGAAACATTAGGGACCACTTCCCCTAAGCTTTTTTATGTGACCTTTACGTGTAGGGGCGTAAGTGCAGATACAATTGACATTTCATCAAATTGTCTATGCTCACATCCTGAAAATCGAACAATAAATTTAACGCAAGTGCATTGCGCTCTTGCTATAATCACCGGGAAAGCATTACCGTGATCAGTGGCTTAGAACAGCGATCTTTACAGCGATGTAGAACTCAAGGTAATATTAATAACTACCAACAGCAGTACGGCTAGGCGGCAGGCGCGGTCCATAGGCTGGAAACTGTCCAGTGTTCTTAACAGACCATTTGCACTAACGTCGAACTTGCATGCCATGTCCAACGTTATGTAAGCAGCTATGAGTTTCTCTGCACTACCAAAGCTGATTTCACGCTGAGTAACGTCGTTTTGTTGCAACCTACGCATGTTTCTTACGCATGGATTATTATGAATAACATACATAAATGGCTTTGGACTAGGAGCGCTTCATAACCAAATCTTGTAGCTTAAAACCTAAACCCAGTGTCATTTCAGTTCATCTGATATTGGTATGCTTGGCCTGTGTGACCAGGTATCGAGTATAGTATCGAGACGTCGTACAATGCTACAGCACGTCCGATCCGCGTCAGGTCAACTCGCTGCCATCCAGTGACCAGTAGAACTTCCCATGTCAGCCGAGCTCACCTAACACGGTCACTTGGTGTTCTCACACGTACATGTTCTGGATAGAAAGAGAAACGCGTCTTTGACACGTTCTCACTGATTTCCGACTGGTCGAGTCATGCTTTGATGTCCTGCGCTTTGTTAGCACCGCAAATGTCGTTCTATGCGCTACTTCAGATGTCAGGTGATTCCTCTGGGACCTGATCTGGCACTCTAATCCGTTCAACAAGGCCAGCGCTGAGCGTGCCAATGCTTTGCACTTTATAAGAGAAGTCAAAACTTTCTGGCTGAGCAGCCGCAGCTGTCAGGTGTTGTCAGACATCGGGAAACGCGGCGAGGCGTGATTGGAGACTTGGACGCCCGAAACGCCATTTAGAGTTTTATACAACATTGATTTTCGTGTCAAAGTGAACTACAGTTTTTAGTACTCATTTTACGCGTTCTACTTATTATCGGACATGACAGCCATGACCGTCATGGCCGACATGGCATGCAAAGATATGATAAGGAGGCGGGCACGACCCCCAGTATCCCCTTTGAAAAAGCCCTAGGTGAGTGATTACAGGTTTGAAAAAAGCTGAGGCACACATGACCCATGATTAGTGTCATTCCACTCCCATACTATAGGCGAACAATAAATGAGCCGGCAAACAATTAAATTTTGCTTCGTTACCGGTTTAGCGCACATTTCTTGCACATTTCTTTTCAGTGGGAATTATTTTGGTGTTCATTGCGCACATGAATGAATATGATCCGCGATGTGTATACAATGCCTGTACACGCATCCCGTTTTTTCAAGTGACAGTGCCAGGCATTCCATCAGTCTATCAGTATTTGTTACAATCATGAGTGGTGCAAAAAAAATCCAAAAAATAATTAAAATACAAGTGTTTGTTGTATAAAGACGAATAGAAGGTCAAGCGACAATGTTTTCCGACTCATCATGTTTATTCGCTCAGTGCCAGGGTGCCCACAATGCCTTTAAACAAACGTATACAACATTGTTTGATCAAATAGTTCCGATAGCTCTGATGGATGGCCCAAATGGCCCATAAATGGAACACTGCATCACTGTACAAGGTAATGCAGCCTTCAGCGACGATTCATTTAGCAGCAGGGATTTGTTAACAGCTCATACATGGATTTGCCCTCTAAAAAATTCTGAGATAATTTGTCCGTACAACGACGCGACGAACGTGGTCCAAGAAGAACGTTCAGCCGTCATGGAAGAGCAAAAGCGCCGCAATCATTGGCCCTTCAGATTGTTCAGCCACACGAGGTGGTCGATGACCACAATGGCGCACTGCGATATATATATATATATATATATATATATATATATATATATATATATATATATATAGATAGATAGATAGATAGATAGATAGATAGATAGATAGATAGATAGATAGATAGATGTATATATGCATATATATATATATATATATATATATATATATATATATATATATGTATGTATGTGTGTATGTATGTATGTATGTATGAATATATGTACAGACCAGGGTGTGCAAATAAAAGACCAATGGAAGTGAAGACGAGGGCGTGTTCAATTTTAATGAGCTTATTCTGGGTATGCTCGATCAACCTTATGTTTCCTCTTAACTTCGTTCGGTAGGTGCAAGATAAAGGTACCGTAAGAGGTTGTCATATATTTAATCTTAACTTTTTGGAAATATTTATTTCCAACTTCTGAAGAAGTATAAAATCAATGTCAGCACATCGCACAGAAATATGATGCGAAGTTTCAAATCAAGATAATACTTAGACACATGATACCTTGTCATTTGCTGTGGTGATTCTGGATGGTAGCTCACGAAATGACGAGAAGAAATAAAACAGCGTGGTCTTGAGTAAACAATACTCCCTCCCGCCCTTTT